TGAGAGAACAGCTCCGAGAGAACTTGTGACTGACCCAAGGTCACGCCAGCAGCTGCATGTGGAGGCATGGGGAATCAAACCCGGTTCTTTTGGATTAGAGTCCATGCTCTTAACCACTGCACCAAATGGGAGAGAGTAAAACTGCAATCCAAAATCCACTTCCTTCCTTCTAAATCCATCAAAGTCGATGGGCTTTGAAAAGTCCAACGCCGCTTAAGATTTCACTGTAAGCCCAATTCCCACTCACGTACCGCTGATGGGCTCCATTCGGTTTCTCCAAGTGGAACTATTCTGAAAATTGGGAGGGATTGAGTTGAGCTAGGGTTCTCAACCTCCAGGTGGGGCCTGGAGACCTACTGGAATTACACCTAACCTCCAGGCAACAGAGATCAGTCCCCCTGGAGAAACTGGCTCCTATGGCATTATACCCTGTTGAGGTTCCTCCTCTCCCCAAACCCTGCTCTCCCCACCAGACCTCCCCAGTTAAGGGGTCGTCACAGTAAGCATTTGGGATTGCTTTCTTTACTTTGTTTGGATCATCTTAAGTTAATGTATGAGTTGTTCTTTCTAAAGTAAAACCTCAGTATTCAGGTTAAATTGCCGTGTTGGCAATTTGCGATAAATAAGTGGGTTTTGGATCACAGTTTGGGCACTCGGTCTCTAAAAGGTTCGCCATCACTGTTCTAGGAGGTCTTGCAGTGCTAATGTAATTAAAGGCAGGTGAGCTGCAAAAGGCTGTACACTCTCAACATGATCTGACCAACCAAGGAGTTGGAGAGTTATGACTGGGAACAAGAAATCTACAGATACCACAACAAACAGATGAATGGACTTCATATGTTTCATCCTGTTTTCACAGAACACAGAGGGTTTTCACAGGGGTAAGTTAAGATGCTGAACTGCAGTCCGTAAGGAGTTCGAGACCCGAGTACCGCATGACGGAGTGAGCTCCCATGTCTGCCCCCAGCTCCTGCCAACCTAAGCAGTTCGACAGCAAGAAATTGGAAGTAGATAAATAGGTACCGCTTCAGTGGGAGCGTAACAGTGTTCTGTGTGCCTCGGCATCTAGTCATTCCGGCCACATGACCACGGAAACATCTTTGGACAGCGCTGGCTCTTCAGCTTGGAAACGGAGATGAACACTGCATCCCTAGAGTCGGATTCGACTGGCTTTCGAGCAAGGGAAACCTTTACCTTTACTAGACACTGGAGCCAGGCTGCACCCAGTCGGATTCGACTGGCTTCCGAGCAAGGGAAACCTTTACCTTTACTAGACACTGGAGCCAGGCTGCACCCCAAAACAATCTTTGGACCACACCAAATGACATATCCCCGCACCTGTAAACTGTAAAGATATTCTTTTGACCCTAAAACACCATAGTTTAGACCGGCACATTCTCCTCACCAGGCCCACTGCTCCTTGCCTTGGGCCTTCAAGGCTCACTTCCAAGAAAAATGCCTGCACTCCCCAGGTGTGTAGAACGAGGTGGCTTTGGCGTACCTGAGTGACAACAACACAAAAGCTACTGCTACCATAGGAGCAGCCATCAGACCAGGCACTGTCCAAGGGGTAGGACAGTTATGGCTGGGGACAACAAACCTACAGATGCCAGAACAAAGATCAGTGTCAGATGAACGGACTTCATAGGTTTCATATGGGTTTCATCAAAATTTTAGTCACATTGGTGAGGCAACATCAAAAATTGTAAATAATTAAAATAAATAACTTTCCCAGTGGCAGAGGGTTTTGCACAGAACAATAAATAACTTAAAATAATTATGATTGAGACAGACACAGAACGAGTATCCCTGGATGCTCAGCTCAGCCACAGGTGTTGAAGGACAGTGTTGGGATATTTCCTTTCTCCCAGGAGGCTCCAAAGACCCACAGCTGGGGAGCAACAGCATCTTCACCAGAACAAACTGGGGGAACAAGATGGATGCTGGGGGAAGGGGAGCAGGGTCCAGTATTCAAAAGGACGTTGAAAGATTCGTGTGTTAATCTGCGTTCTTGATCACCCTGCTGGGGAAAGGGAGCAATCAGTAGCAGAGGTGCACAGGTTTTACTGATAAATGCAGTTTATCTAGGCACTAGGAACAGCAAACCACGAAGCAGGATAAAACTAAGTGAATGATAACTAAAGACATGATAAGATGTTCCTTGCCTTTTATCACTTATCAAGCCTTTAGTTCGGCCATGGTTTTAGAGGGCGTTAGTCACAGAGCTTCAATCAACCACCTAAACCTCATGGCCCCTGAGAATTGGTCTCCCCAGAACCCCTCCATAAAAGTAGACTGGGGTGTCCAATGACGCCTCCCCAAACCTCTTGAGACCTCTGCCCAAGCATTTCTCTGGCGGGGGCCACAGGACATCTCCTGGCACCCCTCCCTCCCGAGTCTTGACTATTTCTCTCCCCGTCTCTAGGCCTCCTCCCCTCCCGCCTGGAATGAGGCTTTTTGATATTCAACCAAGCGATGGAAGAATCAGTGGAGGAGCTCAGGGGCTCTCCCAGGATTCACTCAGGGCAACCTGGACTCAGATGCCGAGATTAGTCATGAAGCTTGAGCCACTCACTCTCTCTCAGCCTAACTTACTTTACAGGGTTGTTGTGAGGATAAAAGAGGGTCTCCCCCTCATGAGTTCCACGGAGAAAGGCAGAGCACAAAGGCGAGATGCAAACTGCCGGATCAAGACACAGGCCAAGAAATGGAGGGCTAACCCAGGCATGGCGCCCTCGGTCCCGGCATCAATAGTGAAGAGGGGGTGTGGTGGAAAAGCGGAATAGAGCAGGGACGGGCCTGTCATGCCGGTAGCGCAAAGCCACGGATGGGCTCAGAACAAAAGTGATTGGATGCCTGAAAGGGACCTGCCCCTGAGGGAGTCCAGAACCTGGCGTGAGTGAGCGTCCACATTCAGAGGCACTGCGCCTCTGATACCAGTGCTTAGGTGGCAACATAGGAACATAAGGAGAGCCCTGCTGGATCAGACCAATGGTCCACCTCGTCCAGCATCCTCTCTCTCACAGTGGCCAACCAGAGTAGGAATGAAGGTATAGTTCTAACAATGGAGGGAAGTAAGCAGTGTGGTCTCACAAGGATCCATATTGGGGCTGGCCACAGGGGTCCAAGCCACAGACCAATTTAACACAGTCTACATGGCTCTGCCCTTGAAGATCACTTGGGAACTCCAGCTAGTATGGAGTTCTAGCTGGACTGATCCTGGGAGCTAGCCAGGGCACACATGCATCCCACGTGTTCTGCTGTCACTACACTGAGCCTGCTTTGGCGGGGTGGGCAGGGTATAAATTAAATAAATAAATATAATACACTGGTCAAACAAAGAATATCTACAGTAAACCTCTGAAAATCTGAATGAATCTTGACAAGAACCAACTAGCACGAATACTCATAACCTCAATACTTGTGCATTGGCATAGGAGAAACTGGGGCAGCATCAACGCTTTTTGACACTTCCCCCCTGATCTTATAAACAGAAGGCCATTGATGTCTTTTGGAAAGCGGTTCCTCCCTTAATAAAGCCTTGGTGAAACGTGGTCTTAGCTGGCTCACCCGTAAGAGGCTGGGAGGATCGGCACTGATAAAGATCTTCATCCAGCACATACCCTATATGGGATGAGGATTGTTGAGAAGTTCTACATCTATGGTGAATGAATGGATTCAGAATTTCTGGCATGGTGACCTTTTGAATGGATTGATTATTTATAATTATTATATCGTATAATATGGTGTTGGCGCAGTACTGATTTATTCTTTAAAATTATTGAGGTTATGAGTATTCTTTCATACTCACAGGCCAAAAAAAACCCCTCACGCTCACGACTGGGGAACAGTAGACAGATGTGGCTGCCTGGATTGTGCATGTTAAATCCATTGGGGGGGAAGAAAGGAGAACGGAACAAGCAGCGCTTCCGATCGCACCCTCATAAGGCCTGTCTCAACAGCTCAAAGAGCTGCAACTCTGTCCTCCTCACCTGTCTTTCCTTCTTTTCCCTTTTTTAACAGCAAACCGCCTCGTGCCTGTCAGTTCACCTCATAACATAAGAACATAAGAAGGGTCCTGCTGGATCAGGCCAGTGGTCCATCTAGTCCAGCATCCTGTCTCACGCAGTGGCCAACCAGTTCAGGGCACAGAGGCCGAGGCCTTCATAAAAACCCTGCTGGGCCCTGAACCGGATAGCCCAGGTAAGCCCGATCTCATCAGATCTCAGAAGCTAAGCAGGGCCCACCATGGCAAGTACTTGGAAGGGAGATTTCCAAAGGAATCCCAGGGCCAAGATGCAGAGGCAGACATACCAAGGCACCTCTCTGAAAATGTCCAAGGCCTAGTAGGGGTCGCCAGAAGTCACCATGACTTCCCGGCTCGCAATCACACACACATACACACACTTTTTATAAAGGAAAGAAAAAAGATTTTTTTTAAAAAAAACCTGCTGGATCAGATCAGTAGTCTATCTAGTCCAGCATCCTGTCTCACACAGTGGTCAAACAGTTCCTCTGGATGGCCAGCAACAGGGCACAGAGGCCAAGGCTTTCCCCTGATGTTGCCTCCTGGCTTTGGAATTCAGAGGACTAGTGCCTCTGAATGTGGAGGTTCCCCTTGGTCACCATGGCTAGTCGCCACTGATAGATTTATCCTCCATTTTTAAAAATTAATGTTATTAAAAGATATGTCAAGTATACATAAACAAGAATGCTGTTTAAACATTAATACAAACTGTAAGCGCAGATACATATATCACAATGCCATCTATTGATTTGTCAGCGGGATCATCCTATAACCATGTCCTTGTCACTTTCTTGTGATTTTCTAATTATTCTACTATTACTAAAGTAATAACGTATAATAAATCCAGCTCAGAGCCCCGCCCAGGCGCCCGGAGGGAGGGCCACGGTCCGGAAGGGGCGCCTTTTCAAAGGGAGCACAGTGCAGCCGCTCCACAGACGGACTCTGGCACCAGAGCTCCCTGCCCGCCCCGTCCATGGCTGCGCTGCCGCCGCTACTGCTGCTCTTGGGGGCCCTGGCGGCCCTGCTGGCGGCGCCCTGCACTGCCCGGCCCGCAGCCGCCAACGCCAGCGCCGCCCCGTCGGGGGTGGAGGTGAGGCTGGGCGTGCTGCTGCCGGAGCGCAACCTGCACTACCCCTGGGCCTGGCCGCGCGTGGGCCCCGCCCTAAACCTGGCCCTGGAAGCGCTCCAGCCCCAGCTGCGCCATGCCGGCCTCGCCCTCCGCACAGCCTTCGCCTCCACCGAGAAAGAGGGCGACAGCTTTTACTGCGACCCCGATGCGGCCCTGTTCCAGGCCACGAAGCTGAAGCACTCCCACGACCCCGACGTGCTGCTCGGGCTGGGCTGCGCCCACACAAGCTACCGAGTGGCGCCCCTCGCCCAGCACTGGCGGCTGCCGCTCCTCCGAGCCGGCCTCTACCGGCGTCACGACGATCTCAGCAGCAAGCCGGTGTACGCGGGCCCAGCGGAGCCCGACCCCCGCGCCTTCGGGGCCCAGCCCGACCCCCGCGCCTTCGGGGCCCAGCTCTTCCGGCACTTCAACTGGACCTTCCGCCCCATCCTGGTCTACAGTCCCGAGAGCGACTGGAAATACCATGCCTCCTTGTTGCGCTTCGGACAGCACCTAGAGGACACCCCCGGGTACCTCGTCGGCCTTCTCCAATACCAGCAGCCGGGCAGTGAGGCGGTCCGGATCGTCCAGGCCACCGCGCGAGGTGAGTCCAGTCCGGCCAAACGTGAGCCGGAGGTTATTCCGCTGGACAGCACCCCCCAGCCCTGGGAGTACGGTTTGCCCCGTGTGCAGACCCCCGCCTTCCTTCCACGCAGGGGGTCCCCGGGCAGCGACGGCCTGCGGGTGAGGAGGGGGCAATGCAGAGGGTGAGAAGGCGGCGAGCCTCGGGGCAGGTCGGATAGACGGGAGCGGCGCCCTCCGGGAACGGAGTCTCTGCCGCCCCCAGGCCCCCTCCAGCTTTAGCCCCCTCTTCCCGCCCCGCCCCCCCATAAGCGTGTGAGTTTCTTCCCGCTCGCCCTGGTTGTAGGGGACCAGCTCTGCCTGGTGCAGCTGGAGAGAAAGAGGGGCAGGTGCCCCAGATCCCCCCCCCACCCATAAACTAAAGTGCCACAAGGGAGGGGAGGAAGGAAGCCGAGGGCGTTCCAGAGAAGGGTCAGGCCAGTGGGCTGCTCTGGGGCCTCCTTCCAAACTGCTCTTCATTGAGCCCCGAGTGCGGTCACCTGGGACTGAGTTACAGTCCAGACCTAGATGATCTGAGATAGGTCCTCCTGAATTGCCCTGCTTCTTCCCCTGAAACAAAACACAGCCACCGCGGGATTGAAAGGCCTTGTTTGCAAGCAACGTCATAAATGGCAGCATGGATCTAAGGCTTCATGGTTCTGCCATGTGGCACAAAAACTGCTTTGTAAAACGTGGAACTTTTGGATTTAGAAAGTGCCCAGAAATGCCCACCGGTGCAGACTGGAGCTCTCCAGCGGTCAGCAGGGGCAGGCTGCCTGGATCACAGTTATCCTCACCCCGGGACATTGGCATGGGCCACCAGTCTGTTCAAGTTTCCTCTTGGAAGTCCCAGATGACTGCCCAGTTCCTTAAGGGACCTACCTGTGTGTCAAGGGCTCTGAAAAGTACTGAAACTGATGCATCGTTGGTCTATTTCAGCTCATACTTTACTCAGGCCCCGGGCATACGGGCCGGCTGAAACGCGGCTACTCCGAGCCGCTCCAAACTTGCTACGCTGCGGCGGGATCCCACGGATCCCCTAGCCGCGGCGCAGCACTCCCCGGCACGCTCAGATGCCGGGGAGGAAAAGTCCAAGGGGAGGGGGGAGGCTGCCGAACTGCGCATGCTCGGGCATGCGCAGTACGGCTGGGGGGCGGGGTGGGGGGGGGCAAGGACGCGCCGCCGATCCCACAGCCCTGCCTGCGCCGCACCAATGGTTGCAACCACCTAGAGAGGTGGTTGTTTTTTGCGGCGCGGTATGGGCCGTTGGGACGGATCGGGGACGGAGACGGCACGCTCGCCAGATGTTGAGGTGAGATCGCGCCTGTTTGCTCCGCCCCGGTTCCGTCCCGCTCCCGGCCCAAATGGGCTCGTATGGACGGGGCCTAAGTGATTTCAGAAGATACAGGGCAAGCCTCCTGGCCTGCTTAAATGCACAACAACTACTCCACCCACACACACCCAAACACCCGTGATTGGCTATTTACATACTCCTGCGTCCGATAGGGTTCCTTTAGGATCCTGGTCAGCCGATAGGCTGTTGCTAGGATCCTAGGTGTCCATTGTCTCTGAGATCGAAGCTCTGGTTTACCTAGCTGACCACGAGTGCAGAGCGACCACGTGCGCGGTCTCAGTTGGTACACAACAGTTTCCTCCCAGGCCCTTCTTTGTGCCCCCGCCCCCCACCCACTGGGAAAAAGGGTGTGGGGCCATACAGAAGGGTGCTGTGGCAACACGAGTTCCCTGGCGCTGGTGCTCCCTCTCTGAGGTTCACCAAGAGGAGCCTGCTCCTGTGTCCCCTCCCTTCTCCAGCAGTGCATGCTGAGGAGTCTTCTTTAAAAGGCAGGAGGTGCAGTTTGGAATTTCCCTTCCCAAGTTTAGTTTTCCCCTGAGGTGTGAAATAAGGGGGGGGGGATTTGATAAAGGTTGATAAAACCCAAGAATTATAAAGAGAATTTTAAAAGAGAAGAAAATAAGAAGGGTTTTCCTTTCGGTTTTGATTTCTGAATCTGGATGTCCCAATTAAATTGGTGGGCAATAAATTCAAACCAGACCAAGAAAAGGTCTCCCACTACCTTTGAGCTGCGTCAGTGAACACTCATCCCATGGGCTTCCATGCTGGTTATTTTGCCTGGAATGGACATAGTTTTTACTAATAAGTCCACGTGAGTTTTCAAGTTTTTGTGATGTGGTGGTGCCAAGAAGCAGTGGATCCATTTTTATTTCTGGTGTCGTCTGGGGACTTTGATGTGACATGTTGAGTCAGTATTCTATGTAATCCACTCTGAGTCTGTGTGAGAAATACAGGTTGTAAGTAGTGTAAATAGAAATGTTTATTAATTAATGGTGAGGTCTGGTAGAATCCATACACAAATGGTAAAGATATACAAGGATCCATATTTTTAATGCATTTTTGTACTTACGAGGCACCATGAAAGATGTGGGTTTTGTGATCCAGTTCATTGGCATGAGTGTGATGTGTGTTTACAGTTTTTGCTAAGTCCATAAGTTTTAAAGTGCAGTCTGGGAAAACGTTCTTGTTGATTGATGGGGGTGGGGAGGACACTGATGGGAACCCGGCTGCCAGGACCAGGGAGGGGAGACTGCTCCACAGTGCCCATGCGAGGAGGAGCCAAAGACCCAGATACTGCAGAGCATCACAAGTCAGGCCTTGCGCTTCATGCATGGCTGAGGGGCACGTTGCCCCTCACTGCCTGCCCTTCATTCCTTGCCTGTGTCTGACATAGACTCCTTCTCGTCCATTTGGTTTCCCCTTAGTGGTCTACATCTTGGGGCCCCTGGAGATGTTGCTGGAGTTCATGCACCTGGCGCAGGCTCAGAACATGACCAATGGGGACTACGTCTTCTTCTACCTGGACATTCTGGGGGAAAGCCTGAGAGCCGAGGGGCATCGCGAGGCAGCCAAGCCCTGGCAGAGCAAGGAGAGCCCAGATGCGGGAGACCTCCAAGAAGCCTTCCAGGTAAGTCCAGGACTCTGCTGCTGGGAGGGAGGGAGGGGAGGGGAGGAAAATGAGAGAACTGAGAATCGGTGCTAGAATCACCCCAAAGGATCTGGCCTTCCCTGGGTGTGTTGCAGTGCAGGCTTAAGGGTGTGGTGGGGTTTGGGGAGGGCCACAGTTTAACATGTTGAGCCAGGACCTTCAGGAGATTTGAAGCCAAGATAAGTCCTGCCGTGGTTCTGAGCAGGTGCTGAGATCTTTCCCCTCGTGAGGGAGCCCCCCCAGCCAGACTCTTTGCCTCGGCACACGCAGGGAAGGGGAGTTGGCTTCTGGGCTCCTCCGGAGTGAGCCGCAGCACCTCTCGGGAAGGAGGCGGACCTGCTGCAGGTGGGGTTCTTGGGGGAGGGGGTCTTCCTTGGCTGGGCCCTTGGAAGGGGAGTTGGGAAAGGCCTCCCTCAGCAAGGAAGGAGGATGGTTTCCTTTTGGCCTTCTGTGCAGTCCCACGTTTGGAATTGCACAGGCCCACTCCTAGATGTGTGCTTGTACGGAAGGCAACTCGACGAGCAGCAGTTACAGGTGAGTGCAACCCTGTTTTTACCTGGATAAAGCCCAGTGGAGCCTCTGGCCTCCATTCTGTATGTAGAGACAAGACTTTCTGGGTCAGGATTCCTTGGCCCAAAAGGAGGTGAGAGGAGAAGAGGGGAGGCTGGCCCTCTGAGACGGAGAGTCTTTTCCATCTTGGGGAGACCAGCACTGGCAGGACCCTGGCCTGGCTAACCTGCTGGTGTGTCTGAGGGAGTCCCAGCCAGCTGGAGGGAGCTCCCTTGTCCTTTTCCTCTCCTTGCAGACGGTGCTGGTGATCGCTTACCATGGGCTCCAAACCCCCAAATTTCAGCGTTTCCAGAGCCAGCTGATCCTGCGTGCTCAGAGGGACTTTGGAGTGGCCCTGAATGACTCGCTGGTAAATCCACACACCCCTGCTTGCCTGCCTTTCTCTGAACTCTGTTATTATGGGATGGAGCCGAAGGCCCTTTGTGAGAAGTGAGATGAGAGAGATCAGCCAGCATTCTGGGGCCAAGATCACTTCTCACCTGGGCCTTGGGGATCTCCTGTCATGACCAAGAAATGACCCAGGAGATTCCCCAGGTTTGGGGCTGGAGAAGGCAGCTGTGGCTTGGCCTTGCAGGGGGGTCTGGGGTCTCTGGGGCTGGCTTGATACATCCAGGTCAACATCAGCCCTTGATCACAGGCAGGGAGTTTGCAGTGGCCTCCTGGGTCGTTCTCTGTTCTGGGCAACCAGGGTTGTTTCTTCCTACCTGGCTTTCTCGGTTACTGCATCCTTAATGCACTTTCAGTTGTGCTCCCTATGCTGTGTGTTCCAGCCTTGTGGCTGACCACAGCCTCCCCCCTCCCCCCCATTTCCTCATGTTCACCTGCCCCACCCAGCATGCACTCTCCCCCCCCCTCCCCGTGTTCTACTTCCCTTGTGGGCTTCCAGGCTTTCCTCTTCTCACCCCGGCCCGGATGGGTCTCCCCTTCTTTATCTCTGTCACCCACCTGGATGTTGAGGTCCAGGAGTCTCCTTTGCATCATCTTCGAAGGAGGGTGAATCCCAGGCCTCGTTTCTCATTTGGGCTGCCAGATCTAAGCTTGCCTGAGGCATGGGGGTCACCAGACCCGCACAGACCAAGAGACCAGTGTTCCCTCTAAGCTGAGTTAGTGTGAGCTAGCTCACAGTTTTTTAGCCTCCGGCTCACACAAATGTTGCCTTCGCTCAGGAAGGATGGCTCCAGAGCAAACTAATTTATGCAGTAGCCAAATCGCTTGCTCACAACTTTAATGCCAGTAGCTCACAACGTAGAATTTTTGCTCACAGTACGCCACAGCTTAGAGGAAGCATTGAAACCCTCTGGCTCCCAGGTGTTTTGGATAGCCTTCATTCGGCCACCACAGGGCACTTCTCATGGCTCCACTAGCAGAGCTGTGTCTAGATGGTCCCCGGTGATGACCTCCAAGTCCAAGGCAGTGGCTGCCAGTGGGGTGGGTAGGGGGGACCAGGATAGTTCCATCATGTTTCTCTCTCCCTCTCTCTCTGTCCCTCTGTGGCAGGGGACCCTGGTGGCCGGCTGCTTCCACGACGTGCTGCTGCTGTATCTCAGGGCGCTGAATGAGACGCTGCATGAAGGTGGAACCAAGCGGGATACCAGCCGCATCCTGGAAAAGATGAGGGGCCTCAAAATCCAGGGTATCGGATGCTTGGCGGAGAGGAAAGAATGGGGGGGGGAGGATGGAGAGAAATTAGGGCTGGGGGTTGGGGGAAGGCCCCAGGGGGATGCCCTGGGCTGAGACAGGTGGGGCCAGGAGAGAGCAGGAGAGGGTGGGAATGGGGGAGGGGGGCTGGTTTTAGAGAGGAGCTGCCCCAGGGCCCGTCCAAGAGGCAGACTCAGCTGTGGTTCGTGAGTGACCACTGATGCCGGGGGCCACATAGAAATTATGTGTGTCTCCCTCCCTGTCCCCCCCCCCATCCAGGTGTCACTGGGACGGTGAGCATTAACAGCGACAATGACCGAGGGATGGATTTCGACCTCTGGGCCATGAAGGATGTGGAGAGTGGAGAATACCAGGTGGGTCTATGGGGAGGGTGGAGGTGTCAGCCATGGTAGGTGGGGAAGGGTCTCCAGGCAGCCCCACTGGGTCTCTGAAGGGGTTGGCATGCATCAGATAGACACTTAAGGAGCCCCAGGTGGGAGTGGGGGACCTGAGAGTGGTGGGAGGTGAAACTCCAGGGGGCCTCCAGGCCTTTCCATTGGGATAGGATTCTGGGAAGTTGCAACAGACGTGGAGGAAGGTGCCCTCTGGGTCTGTGGCCTGAATCCAGCCCCTCCTTCCCACAGGTGGTGGCTCACTACGTGGGATCAGAGAAGCGGATCAACTGGACGGGGCCCATCCACTGGAAGAAGGGGGGCCCTCCTCTCGACAATCCACCCTGTGTCTTCAACATGGATGACCCCTCCTGTGGCACAGGTGAGTGTCTCCACGGGGTAGAGGGACTTGATCTCTCTGGCCTGTCCGTGTTGGCCATTCAGGAGCCCTTTCGCTCCCTCTGCCACCTCCAGTGGGGATCCATCTGCCAGGCAGGACAACCCTCAGTAGGGATGTTCAAACGCCCGCCATTTTGCCTCACGTTCTGCTCTCTGGTTGGGAGCACAGAGCCGGTTCTCTGCCAAGCAGCTTGGCGGTTCACAAGCCGCTGTCATTTTTTTATTGGGTAAGTTCTTGCATGTTTATACAGTACAATTGGCATTCTTCCACACCTGCGTGTTCTCAGACATCTGAATGGCAGTCCTGGTTTTCTCCTCTCACACAGACCCGCCGTCACTGCTCACGGCATGGCAGCCAATCCTAAAAACATACAGGGAGCAAACTGATCAGTCTGACAGTAATTATTAAATGTGTATTATTATTATTATTTTAAAAAAATCTTACCACTTGGTGTTCATTTCATTCTTTGTTATCATCGAGGGTTTTCACACATGTGCATTGTTGCTCAGCCATATGGGATTTTAGTCCTCTCTTCGTGACATTTCATCATCTGGAGGAGCCTCAGGCTCACCGGCTGCACAGATGCAAAAGCAGCTTGAGAAGGGAAGGAAACCGAAGTTTCACAACTTGTGCCCTCCTCTCCATCCCCTCCTATGAGTTGCTTTTGGATGGTTTCTGAATTGGGGGCTTTCTTCAACTTAGCCGTTTTGACACCTTTGTCTTCAGAGCAAGACGCTGAGCAAATCCTGATCTGCAACTGAATCCTAGTTAATTTCTTCCGCTTTGACACAGGCGTTCCTTATGCCATCCCCAGGGCACCCTCCCACCCACACCCTGCAGCTGGAAGTGGGGGTTCCGGTCTGAGGGGTCGGTCACCCCTAAGTAGGGATGTTCTTTGCAGTTCATCTCATGAGCTGCTTGCTGACTGGAGTAGGGAACCGATTTATGGCCAGTCAGTTCAGCCATTCCGGAGAATCTCAGGCCTGGCTGTACCAGGTAAGTTTTTGCATATTCAGACAGTATAATGCAGTCGGTGGTATTTCATGCCTCCCAGTGGGAGTCCTCCCTCCCCTCCCCCCGAACATACCTGTTACCTCTGCTCACTACTCAGCAGCCAGTCATAAAAATAAACATTGAGCAAATGAATGGGTCAAACAGTGGTTTTAAATTGTGCTTTTCTAAAGGTCTTACTGGGTGGTGTTCATTTCATTCTGCATTATTGTTGAGGTCTTTCATGCATGTGATTTTCCACTCAGCCTTATGGGAGTGTCATTTAATTGTCTAGTGGCTTGCAAATGAAAGCTAAGACGGAATGGAGACGTTTCCATGGTGGTTGGGGAGGGGGAGGGCAGAAGGTTGACCTGGGGGGGATCTGCACAGAGTTGGCTTCCCCCCCCCC